CCAGTGCTCGGGTAACCTCGAGGACATCGATTTCCCCTGTAACAAAGGTAGGGTCTCCCGTCTCCATTTCGCTCGACGAAGGCCGCCATTCGGCGGCATCTCTGGACTCGAGTTCCGGTCGAATCGTCCCAATCATTCCCAGCCCCGGGTATCCTAGTGATACATACTGCTCCAGCGGGATAAGCTCGACTGCTTCCTCACTGGAAATCATCATTCCATTACTTCCCCCCTGATCATCCATCACGGCTCCTACACGTCCTGGGCCGTTAGCTATGGGAGCTGCAGCTGCAGGCGCGACCCCAGCTCTAGGCTGCATGGCACGATGGGGGCAATCTCGGGCCAAGTGTCCTGGTTGATGACATGTAAAACAGGCATTTTCCGCTGTCCCGGCTGGCCCCGCTGCAACTTGTGCAACAACCATGCCTCCCTGCATTGGTGCTCGCACCACAATGGGTCACATATTCCGCATCATAGCTTCTAATCGGGCGTTGTGCTCTTGCTGTTCCTTCTTGCTTTCTTGGATTAGACTAACCAATATTTTAGTTAGCTCCAAGATAGCAGTAGACTCATTCGTTCTTGCGGGTGACTCGATGGTGGGTGGCGGTGGAGGTGGCTGAGTTACGGTTGGGGACGCCATTACCGGGATCTGCCTGTTTACAGTCGCTCCACATGGTGCGGTCCTCGATGTCACCTGTTCTACATACGTAACGGGTCCGGCTACGAATCCTATGTTTTCGAATTTGTTTTGCAGTGCGGCCAGTTCCGCCCTTGCTTTCACGAGTTCGGACGAGTCTCCTTCTCTACCATAATCCTCATTTTCTAAGAAGCTAGATGCGAACCTCCAATGAACAGGTCCCGGCCTACCTGCTCGCCCCGCTCCGTCTTTACAAACATTCGATGAAATCTATTCCGATACTCGGTAATGGATTCGAGTGGTTTCTGGACTCGATCCTTGATCATATAGAGTGCTTGTTTGGGTGAACATAATCGAAGTGGTTCATGAAATCCCGCTCGAATGTGGGAAGATCCACCCATACATAAGTGCTATACCAATGATGGGCGTCCCCCCCCATCCGCGCAGGGATGTTGATCTGAGCTTCATCGTTCGTATACCACTGAGCTCGGAGCGTGGCCAACCATGCTCCGGCGAGATGGTGTGCTGGGTCAAATAAATAAAGATCTGATGGAGCCGTCGGGGCTCGCGCAGGCGGGTTGGGCTGTTGATTGAGGATGACCGCCGCAGCGGCTGCTGCAGCAGCGGTCGCAGCCATGGCGCCTGCTCGCCTGGTGGCGGGTGTTCGGCTTCGTGTATCTACAGGACTACGTCGGCGTGTATTACCAGCTGAAGGGCGCCTACGTGGAGCCAGATCGCCTCGCCTTAGCCAGTATTGAGTCTACAGACCCTATCGCTTAGCCACGTGTCGGGCTCCGATACCAACCTCACGCCCTGCGCGACTTCCTAATCAGAGTGGAGTGTGGGCCTGGAAGTGCGACAAAGGGGTGTGCCAAGGATTTTTGGAAAGTGGGGATGGAGTCCCAGGTCGGAACTGAGATCTCTGGTGGCAAGGTTCAGGGGACTAGATGCAATAGAGCACTGGGAAAATTTACGGGCGCGGGCTTTCACGCTGGTTGTGCGGGACGTCCGATCCTGGCGTGATCGCCAGTTCAGGGGAGCCTGTCGAGGTGGTCCTTGGAGCCCACGCCTTCCGGGTCCGCCACGTGTCGTGGGTTGGTGGGAGCGATGCCTAGGTGCCGAGGCTCCGGGGGTTCGGGTATGGGCACGTCGCCTTCAGCTTCTGCACGGGGTGGAGGGCCAATAAGGCGCTATGGAATTCCACGGTACTACTGTAAGCTGATGATAGGGGAGGAGGAAGTGGTATGGCGGGAAACTAGTGGCGATAAGGACGAAGCCGGGGGTTATGAAATACTGCGTGTTGTACGTGTTTGGGTAGTCGGGTATCCGTGGGTCGCTTCATACGGCGAGATGGAATTCCCTAGCGCAGAATCTATCATTCTCCGTGAGGCAGGGGAACACCGGGTTTCTCAAATTTCCCCGTAATCGGAGTTGCTCTTCTTCCCATATTTCCCGGTACCCGAAATACGACTCGTAATCCTCGGAATTCCAAGATACATCGGAACCCCGCGAGCTCGTCATTCTTTCATCACTCACGCCTTGGGGGATAAGTTAATCGGGGAGATCACCGCTCGTAAGTGCGTAAGAGAGATGCGAACAAGTCGCACTTACGCGCACTTACGCGTGATGGGTAACCCGATCCCGGTCGAYGTCGACTCCTACTTCAGTGAGGGGCTRACTACGGGCGTTAGCCAAGACGCRATTGGYGAGTCCGAGTGGTATGGACACATGTAAGCCGCGCTCCATTCGGATCACACTTGCAGGTGCCCATATGGCACGTCGGATGGTGCGCTCCAGACTACCCGTAAGATTCGACAAGCCAACACACTCTACTGATCACGCCAACATGCAATCCCCATTCTCATTCATCATGYACGAGGGTTCGAAGGGAAACGATCAAAAACGAAAAGGCGAAGGTGCGCGAACCATCCATACATCATTTGCAAAAGAGGATTCCGGAGAAGGAACGAAAAAGGAGAAAACATCGATACAAAAGAAAGAACCAAGTCGAACAATCGGACGAGTATATGGCCGCAAAGACAAGGGCGAGTTGCCCGTAATCGACACCAAAATTTATATACACAGATAAAAAAAGGACCGACAAGAAAAGCGCAAATCCATGTCCATCTTCACCCTCAACTCTCTCCGATGCCGACAGTCYGTCGTCGCGCACCAACACCCGAAGCCGTCACCCCGCTTAGTCCTCCTGCGCCCGTCAGGTTCGCTCCGCGCCCACAGTCCGTCGTGGCCCGCGTCAACCCCGCGCATTCGGCACCAGCTCGTCGGGTCGCCCGACTCCCACTTCACTCACCTCTTACTTCGCTCGTGTGCCGACCCTCTCGATCGCGCAACCCCGAGCTTCCAGCAATTGTTAAGAGAGCAAGTTAATCGCGCAGCCGGAATTTATAGCGTGCATGCATGCGCGAAGAACACGGAATTACAAGGACGTAGWTARATGGGGGAAAGGGAGTGCTTACATTTGCATGGTCGGGCCGCGGCGTGGGGGACGTACCCAACTCCACRCATCGATCCGAACATGCAAACGCRGCTACSCAGATARGGAGGGGAGAGAGGAAGAAACGAGGCGGGAAGAATAAGAAGCAAGAAACARAAAGATACAGTTACAAAAGTGTGCGCCCAAAATTACAGTTGCAAAAGGATTAAGGCGCCAATCAATCAAGGTCCTGGCGCAGCAGCAAGAAAGAGCGCGCAACACGCAAAGCAGCGCCCCAGAAAAACAGAAATTCCAAAATTCCTAAATTCCTAGCTAGCCTGCCGATATTATGAAAAGGTCCGAAAAGAAAATCAAAATTCCGAAGGCCGTATGGCTCCGACCAAGATTCAAAAAGAAAATTCAAAAAGGAAATTCAAAAAGAGACACCGAAATTCCCGCGCGATGTCTACGAGCCCAAAAGTCCGACAAAACAAAATTAAAAGAAGGGAAACGAAAGAAAAGAAGCGACGTCAACGTTTATTAATCGCGCACTCGGCGCGCACTCCGCATACATCTGACCAAGTTTCACCCCCTTTTCCCCGTGCATTCCCGAATTGTGCGAGAACGAAGAAACAACGAAGAAAGCAAGGACACACATGCAATTTTCCATCAACCCGTCCAATCGACGTGGGACCCCGCTTAGTACTTCGTGCAGAAAGTCGCGCATTACAGAAGCTAGTTCGTCACAGCACGGTGATCTCCCTGGGATCGGAAGAGTACAAGGTACTCTTCAAGCCGTGGATGACGCGAGCGGAGTTTCGAGAGCTAAAATGCTTGGAAGAGGAAAACACTTTCTGGGTGATGGCAATTCAAGTGCCGTTGGACGACATGCCGTTCATTCACGCGCAGATTGAGAAGGCTATTGGCCCAATAAGAAGGGCATATCCAGCGGACGCGGATCCACAGCGCCCGACCTTGGTTAATGCCAAGTTCGATTTAGACCCGGCCCCCCGCCCTAATATGAAAGATAAAATATGGGTGGAGACTCTGAAGGGAGATAAGCTGGAGATAGGTTTGGCGACGGCAGGAACGATGAGGTGCAGCAAGTGCAGGCAGTATTTTCGTACTGAGGAGGATTGCAGACTGGGTCAACGTCGCCCGAACGGTTCAACGGCGAATGGAAATCAGGGAGAGAGATCTTCGAATCGACAACATCAAGATAATCGAAGACAGGAGGGTACGAGGTCACAGTACCAAGGAGTACTTCGCCCGAGAGCGGCATCACAAGAACCCCAGCCGACGCTTAGCCACGTTTCATCAATAAGGAATAATCCGACGTTTTCCCCATCGAGACAACCGGACCAGGGCAACGGGCACCTAGGTCTCGGAGTGGGAGTTGAACCTTGGGGTTTGCCGCCCCAAGGTGGAAGAAGTCAAACGGGAGCTCTGCAGGGCCTTCCGCCTCAATTGAACACAGAAGCAGCCAGGAATTACTATTATTGGGCGGCCATGACGTTGGCGAATGGGGGGTTTGTGGATCTCACAGGGAATCTGTCGTTCCGCTATGGCATGCCCAGAGGTCAACCAATCCCTCAGCAAGAAAGGGGAGTTCCCTGGACAGGGCAACAGGGAGAGGGAGGACTCCGGACGGAGCAACAAGGAGATGGGTTAATCCCAAACGGGCAACAGGGAGGGGGACTACCCCAGGCATGGCAACAAGGAGGAGAAATACCTCTGGGAGGACAACAAGGTGGTGGCGTACAAGGGGCATGCCAACAAGATGCCGGCCAGCAGATGAGGCAAGAGACGGGGAGGGTAAATACCGACATACCTTCTCAAACGAGTCCGCCAAGAGTAGGCAAAGCAGGAGGAGGTCCTTGTAGCGAGCGGGAGAGGATGGACCAGGAACATAGGAATACTCCGAGCCGCTCGAGAGGGCTGACAGCGGGGAAGCAGCGCAGGCTTAGCTTCTCAGGACAGGATATCCAACAGGAGTATTCAAGGCTATCAAGAAGCGGCTCGAAACATTCGGTCAGCCAAGAAGTGGGATTGGTCACACCAGGGAATAAAACGACTCGAGACAGACGCCTGGCGTCTTCGTCACGAGGAGCTACGACGGATATGCCCCAGTACATTGTACCTCTTCTTTGCACGGCTGCAAGGAATAATTTATGGGTGATAACGTGGCAACGATCAGCTGGACCTCTTACGCTATTTGGGCAACAAGTGATGGAGGTTTCGTCCGTGACAAGTGTGGAGAATGCGATGAAAGTGTTGTATCTGGAGTACTTCCCCACAAGGGCGATTCCGGACATCCCGATGGCCAGAGTTCTTCACGGCCCATGTGGAAATAAGATTAAGTTATTCGTTCCAGTAATCGATGCCCGGTTGACAGAAGTGAAGGTGGCTGCGATGAAAATGCTTGGTCTGTGTCTGGTACCCCTGCTGCACTTCGCAGAAGCCAGACGACAGGAGCTCTGCAAGTTGTTGATCTCTCCTCTGGATATTTCTGCAGAGTGCTTGATGGAGTTGAAAATAAGGCTTCCGAAGGAAAGGAAACTGGACTTGCAGTTTCTCAGGAATGCGCTGACGTAGAGCTGGTCACAGGAAGGAATTCCATCCTCCCAGATCCAAGCACAGCAGGGGAAGAAGAGTATAAATGGTTAAAATTAGGATTGCCTCGTGGAACCTACAGGGGTTTGGGGATACCAGCGGGAGGAATAAACGTAGCAGGTTTAGGGCCTGGGTGCATGAGAAGAGGGTGTCGATTGCATGTGTACAGGAAACAAAATTAAACGATGAGAAAATTAGTCAGTTGGGGGCCTGGTGGGATGGCCCTCAAATATGGGCAGCGACACAGGGCACGAAGGGGGGAGTAGGAATCCTAGTGCACCGAGACTTGCAAGCCGAAATTTTGGATTACCACGTCGACCAGTGGGGACGTTGGGCTTGGATTGTAGTGAAGACAGAAGGCATTCTGTGGGCAGTAGCAACATTGTATGCACCAGTGGATAGACAAATGAGAATTCAATTCTTTGAGGAGTTGCAGGTAGTTCTACCGGACGTAGAGAACATGATCATTGCGGGAGACCGGAATACATCGTTAGATGCGGCCACAACCAGGGAAAGAGGATGTTCAAGGGTTGTGTTGGAGTTGTTGGACTTAATGACGGATTGGGACCTGCACCCGACAGATCAAGGGTTCACATGGTTTTCATCAAAAGGCAAGGGTAAAAGATTGGACTACTTTCTTACGGCAGGCGCAATACAGGAGGCGGTGATAGAGATCGGGCAAGCAAATAATCCGATCTCATATCACAAGCCGATTTTAGCAGTGCTGCAGTTGGGACCAGACATGCAGAAAGGGAGGGGATTCTTTCGTCTGAATGTTCAAAACTTGGAGAATGATCAATTAAATCAATGGATCCAACAATTTTGGAAGAAATGGACTGAGCAAAAGGGGAACTTCCCTACGATGGCGGATTGGTGGGAAGGGGGATCTCGTATTTTATCGAACCTGCTAAATGTTTGCTCTAGGATTTTGGCCCTGCAGCGAAACAAGGAGGAGAGGAGGTGTTGGAAAAGGGTGGAGGAGGCAGAGAGGAAGATGAAAGCACATCCGATCTTGGAGCTTACGTGGGGGAAGGAGTGAGTAAAGAGGTTGGCAGAGTGGGATCGATTGCAGCAAGAGAAGGCAGATCGGTGGACAGAAAGACTTAAAGTGCGGGGGGTCGAGGTCTATGATCGCATGACGAAAGAGACTTTCCAAAAGTTGGTACCATCAAGGACTGCACATGTGATGAAGGAACTTAAACATCCATTCGACTCTGAAGAACCAGCAGCAGTTGAACCGAAGCTGATGTGCGAATATGCAGCAAAGTATTTTCGAGACATCTTGACATCACGACGTCCGAAAGAGGGAGCAGACACCAATCTGGCTCTGAACACAGATCACTGGGAGGATACAAAAAACAGGCTCCCCACCCACGCGAGGCTGGATATGGACAGACCGGTTACGGAGGAGGAAGCCTTGCGAGCTCTCAAGGCCATGGCAAAAGGGAAAACGTCAGGTAACGATGGTCTTCCCACAGAGTTCTACCGGAAACATTGGGATGTATTTGGACAAGATCTAGTGGAGATCTACAATGAGATTTTGATTGGGGAGAACCTTCCGACTAGCGCCTGCAAAGGTATCATCTCCATTCTATACAAGAAGGGGGATATGAACGAAATAAGGAATTGGCGCCCTATTTCGTTGTTGAATGTATCCTACAAGATCTTGGCTAAGTTGTTAGCCAGAAGGTTGGGTAAGTACCTGCCGCTCCTGGTAGGGGATGATCAGGCGGCCTTTGTTAGAGGCCTTTCAATATTTGATAATATTGTTACGGCAATTGAAGTGTTAGAGGTGGTAGGGAAGAAGGAGCTTGATGTGGAGGTAATGCTACTCGACATGGAAAAAGCGTACGAGAGGGTAAATTGGTCGTACGTTTTGACTATGTTGAGATGCGTAGGGTTTGGAGAAGTCTTCTGCACATGGGTGATTGCATTGTACTCTCTGTCCACAGCGTCAGTGATGGTTAATGGGCATATCTCAAGGCCCTTCCAATTATCTCGCTCCCTCAGGCAGGGTTGTCCCTTAGCCCCTCTGTTGTTTGTCATTCATCTTGAAGTCCCATTGAATAATATCCGTGCTCATACTGAGATTCAAGGCCTGCAGCTGGACGAGGGGACTTGCAAGGTTAAAGCACTTGCAGACGATCTGTTTGCAGTCTCACAGAATACTAAGAGCTCATTGAACGCGCTTCAGTACTGCCTGCGACAATACGAACAACTGTCGGAAGCTGCTATCAACTGGTCGAAGTCAGCTTTTTTGCTACCAGACAAATATGACCCAGCTGTGGATTGGGGAATGAAACGCATAAAAGGAGCAGAAACGGAGCGGTTTTTGGGAGTCCAGATATCTTTGATGCCAAGCAGCAAGCAGCAAGATCAAATTATATAGCAGAAAGTGATGCACAAAACTTCTATTTGGGGAAAGGCACCCCACCTGTCGTTGTATGGGCGGACACTAGTAGTGAACGCAGCGCTTTTTGCCCTGTTGTGGTTCGTGGGGAATGTTAGGCCGATCGGAAAGAAGACCCAGACTGTAATCAGGAGGAAAACGACACGTTTTCTCTGGCGTCCGTTTGCAGAGGAAGAGGAAGGAGTGATGTCGAGGGTCGCTTGGGAGTTGGTATGCAACCCGAAGGTGGAGGGGGGGTTGGGGCAATGTTAGCACGCTGGGTACTGAGGGCAATATGCACAAAAGGGAATGCGCACTGGATCAGCCTAGGCGAAAGGATTCTGAGAGAAGAATGGGAACTGTCGAGGACAGAGGATGTTTGGGCATGTGTATGGGTGGAGTCCTACCTCCAAAGGAGAATAGCTTCGGAATTTTGGGCAGCAGTCCTACAGGCACGGAAGGAAGTCAAACCGGATATGACAGTGCAACCTGTTACCAAGGAGGAGGTTTTGTCTCAGATCATCTTTGAGAACCAGTATATCAGGAAAGCGGATGGGCTCAGGTTTATGGCTGATACGGCGACGAAAAGCTTTGGAAGGAGCTGGATATCCAAAGGAGTGGTGAGGGTAAGAGATCTATGGAATACAGTGGAGGGGAGATGGTACTCAGAGAGTGAGATGAAGACGACCCTGAAGAACTGCAAAGGAATGGGGGATAAGTGTCAGGCCATTATCTCGGCTCTGCCTTTGGACTGGGTAAGACTGCTGAGCCCGGAAGGGGTGAACCCACCAGGCACATGGTACCGGGTACAGAACTCGACGGGAGAAACAAGTTACCTGAAGTTGCTGGAGCTCCCAGTGAATGGAGGCAGGACATTTCAACAGTGGAAACATCAACAGGATTCAGCATCCAGTCTCCAATTAGAGGAAGACTCGAAGGTGAGGGTGACAGTCCCGGGGGGCCCGATATCAGAGGTGCGAGTTATTGAGAAGGTCGATGAACGAGGTAACTGGACGGTGGAGCTCTGGGAAGGAGGAACGCCAATCTCTCAGTTGAGAGCCGACCCAAAGCAGTGGGCATGGCGAGGCAGAGGCGTACAAGGGAATAATCTATCTCTGGGGGAGTACACTCTAAACGTGGGCTATGAGGTACAAGGAAAAGGGCAAACCCCGCTAATGATCGCCATAGGGCGATGGAGACAGCTTAATGTGGCTGAGGAGGAGAAAGTAGGGGCGGCTTTGAAGAGGTGCTGGGCTCAACTAGAAAACGCCCCGATCCCGAGAGCAGCGGCAATATTATGGCTGGCCTCACTACTGGCTACCACGTCGGCAGTCTGGCTTTTGTCCCGGGGCTTAAACATTGACCCGCAATGCAAAAGATGTCTGTGGAGCTTCGAGTCAACAATGCATATCTGGTGGGACTGCCCGGCCTCGGCCAGGATTTGGTCCTGGTGGGCCGAGCACTGGGAAACTATCTCAGGAGGTGCAATGAAATGGAACAGAGAATGGGTTCTGTTGGGGGGTACTCCTGAACATCTCCAGCTACACAGAGGCTGGGGGTATGTCGCGCAGGCTTTCAGGGCAATAGGGTTCTGGATCATTTGGACGGAACAGAATAGAACGCTGTTTCAGGGGAAGGTAATGCCGGACCCGGAAATCAAGGCTACATTTAAGGCAATGACACGGAGAGCCATTATGGCAGATTGGAAAAGGAAGGTGGTGAAGGGCGCGGGGTACAGAAAAGGAAAAAGATGGTTCAATGAAACGTGGGCTGCGAACGCAAAGTTGGTTAGGATTGATGACAGGGGAAAGGTGAAATTTGGGGAATGGCTAGTTAGTTAGTTGAATGCAGTGTGCTCGACTTCAAACCAGGGCACTCGGTTGAATGTCCGCGGGTAGGACGGCAGTGGGAGGAAAGGGGGAAAGAGAGGGCCCTGTGGTAGGTGGAACCCTGTTAGGTTCCAACCGTCGGGTAGACGGCTTGAGAGGAGATAGGTGGAGGGATGTGAGGTATAGTTGATAGGATAGCGGTGGATAGCTTGTAAGGTGTTAACAACAGATTTTTCTGAAGACCGGTTGGCGTTGGCCTCGGTCGCTTGTGCTGTTGGGGCCCTGTCCCCACCTTTGTGACTCTGGGCTAACCCAGGCAGACTGTGTGGTTCCGGGTTGTTTGTGAGGAATTCCCGGCCTCAAGTTGGATATTAATGGAATTTCTCGCTTTTTCCCAAAAAAAAAAAAAAAAAAAAAAAAAAAAAACTGAGCTAAGCCCGTTGGTAACCTTTTTCTTTTTTCTTTTTTTTTTAACTGCGCTATATTCTTTTCTCAAATCTTTCATCATTATCCAGCGGCCTAGCTCAGTTGGTTAGGCATGCAAGTGGCATTCAGGAGGTTGTGGGTTCAAGCCCCATGGCCGCCTGCGGTGCACTTAGTGCCAACGGACTGTGATAGTCCTCTGGATACCCCTGATCGGTATTAGCGGGGTCTATGACCAACACGGGTGTGAGTGTGCGCGCAAGTGGGTTGTGTGTGGTGTGTGGGAGAGTGTTGGCCATAGCCTCTGCTGCTACTCGATGAAGGGTGGGGGATGATGAGAAAGGGAGGCACAGCTACTGGCAGGTCTCGGTCTTTGTGTTAGCCAGACCCCCACTGGCGGCCCCAACCCTATACCCTAACCATTAGGGGCAAGGGGCAACATGAAATCCCCCCTTCACAAAGAGAGGAAAACTATGCTTGCAGGGGTCCCCTCTAGATAGTCTTAGGAGTAGGTAGTGCAAGGCAAACAAAAACAGAAGTAGAGAGAAGAATATAGACAGTTGTGATCACCCCAATACAAAAAAAAAAAAAAAATCTTTCATCATTCGCCCCAAAAAAAAACAAAAAAACAAATCTTTCATCATCTTTCAAATTCTTTCAATTCCCCTTCACTCTACCTACCTACCACCACTCCTAAGACTTATACTGGGGACCCCTGCAAACATAGGTTTGTTGTCTCCCTCCAGCCCCCCATCAGAGGGGATGCATGTTCCCTGCCCCCCCCTCTCCTCCTCCTCCTCCTCCTCCTCCTCCTCCCCCTCTCCCCGCCAACCATGGTGGTCAAGGATGGGGTGGAGCCGGCAGTGGGGGTCCAGCTAACGCAAAGACCGAGCATTTTGCCAGTAGCTGCGCCTCACTCTTTCATTGCCCCCCACCCCCAACTGAAATCCTTTCTTTTCTTTTCTTTTCTTTTCTTTTCTTTTCTTTTCTTTTCTTTTCCTTTCTTTTGAAAGAGCGAGTTTTCAGTGAAGTGACTGGCCCATGTTATTCAGAACTATTGTACTCAGGTCATCTGATCGTCTGACTGTATGTGGATTCAAGCTTTGGGTCTGCATTTCACAAAATAGTTGGTGGGTGTACCAACTGAGATCTTACTGGGGTCATCTGATTGTATGTGGATTCGAGCTTGGGTCTGCATTTCACAAAATAGTTGGTGGATGTACCAAGTGAGATAAGCCCCAAAAAAAAACAAAAAAAAAAAACAAAGTGAGATAAGCCTGCTCGTCAGTGCTAGGGGTTGCCTGCTCGAACCGGCGTCCCTAGTAGCTGCTCGGCCTGTTTAAAAAAAAAAAAAAAAAAAAAAAAAAAAGAAAAGTGAGATAATCCCCTTGGTAACATTACTTACTTTATGAGGTTTATGTCATTTTTGCCTTGGGCACTGGGCCCTTTCAAGGAAAAAAAAACACATTACTTACTTTGGTGCTATCTCCTTCAAAGGGAAAAGGGGAAAGAAGAAGGAGAAGAGATGGTCCTCGGACTCCTCCCAATAAAGGAAGGCATCTTTTGCGAAGGTCTTGGAATTTTCAAATCCAACATTGGATGTGTAGGCGTTCTATTTGACGAAAGACGCGCTTTACGTTTAAACTCTACACAGTGTCGCATGGTGGTCCCCACTACTGGTATGGCAGGCATTCGAGTGCAGTGGTAAGGTAACATCGTCTCCAATGATTGGCTGCCATCAAATGCGTCAACTCTCCGCGTCCCCTAGAGCTGTGAGAAATTTGAAGCATGGCCGTCGCTCCACTACATCTTCTACATCCTGTGCATGTGCATCCTCTACATGCACCTGGAGTCAATTTGAACCTTTATACATTCAGAGTGAAATGGCACCATCTCGACATTCGGATGCTTTTCAAAAGCTCTGCAGTGGAGCGAGGACCTATTTCTCTCTTTTCTTTTTCTTCATTGAAGCCTTGGAATTTCATTGCCTACCGGGTGCGTGGGGAGAACGCAGCCCTAAGGGATTATGTTTCTTTGTTATTCTTTTAGAGCGAGCGCACACACACACACACACACAC